AAGGAGAAAGAGAATCCCAAGCAGACACCCTGCTGAGCATGGAGTCCAATGTGATGCTAGATCTTAGGACTCTGAGATCAAGACCTGAGCCATAATCAAGAGTTGGACTTAACCAACTGAGCCACCCAGCCACCCAATTTAACAAGTATCTCCTGAAGACCAAAGAAAGCTAGACATTGTGTTAGTCACCAGAAAGATAGAAATTGCCAAAAACAAATAAGCAAACATGGTTGGACTTCTGCTTCTAGCAAATGGAAAACTAGATATAACTCTACTTTTCTCAAAAAATACTTTCAAAGAGAATATATTGAAATGCTGCATAAAAAGTAAAACATACCATAACATTTGTAGATAACACATAAATAAATAAATGGAATTGTTATAGGCTCAAAAGGAAGAAAAAGAAAAAAAATCAAAAGTAAACATAAACACCAATACCATGCCTCTTTTGGGGACATTTGCAAAACTTTAAAACTTTATAAGTGAGATTCAATCTGTTTAAAAAGATTCTAAGCCTTTGGGTCCATGAACAATAGAGGACTCCACTAAAACCCAAATATATACCCACCATCCTTGAAAGATCGGCATTTCATTCAAATCCTAAGTAAATCAATCTGCTTATCAGCACAAATTATAAATAAACTTGCCCATCATGACCTGGCATCTTGTTAGGAAAAAATGTCTCATCTGAGACTCTGTAACCACAGCCTTTTCTCACATAGGTGGAAGTTTGAATTTTATTATCTGCCTAAGTGAGGAAACTTTTAGCTGAGAAATTAAATACAGTGGTCTGAGTGATACCACTTGGGAGCACTAATGGAATTGGCCTCCAGGGTTATCACAGCAAAGATCCTATTAAATACAAACTCACCATTCAGTTGCAAAACACGATGACAAAGAATGTCTCTTAAATGAAGTGTCTGGAAGACAATAAATATATTTAAATGTTTGTTGTTGTTGTTGTTTTAAATAAAGGTTGTCAAATGGTTAAAAGGAAGAAGGAAAAAGGAAAAGAAAAGACACCTTCTCAAAAGACCAGGGTTGTAAGTTGACTGCCTGGCAATGTACTAAGCAAGAGATCAGGAAGAAAGAATAAATGAGCAACACCTGTCAGAAAATCTAGCTAGACAAAAGGAATTTGTGTCTTGCTGTGGGAAATACATGCTAACCCACTGTTGTGAGAGGGATTAGACCACAGTAAGGAACTATTTTGAGGAAGAGATTTAAGTTGTTCATTTTCTCCCCTCAAAAATGTCCTGGCAGAATTATGATTCACTTACTAATACTGATTCTGATATGAGGCAAGGCCAATCCAGTTTGGCCCTTGGGGTCCGTAGTAAACTTTAGGTTGTGTATTAAAAGCATGACATATAAGGCTCAGTTGACGAGCACTGCATATTCCCTCTTTCTGATACTCCTTTCTCTCTTCTCATTAACCTTTAGGACTATAAGCTTTTTAAAAGTGTAGTGGGAAAAGTTAAAAAGGGTCTTTTTTTGTGGGAGACATTCAGTGCAACAAGATGGATAGCATCATGGAAGGGATGTTAAATGACAGCTGGGGTTCTCTTGCCTTGAGGAAGACCTTTCCCTTCATAACACATCAAGCTGAGGTATGGACTTGAGTCCCTATGTCCAAGATAAAGATGGTGGCTCTAGGGAAAGCATTCTCTGGGAGAATGCAACTAGATATCTAAAAAGGGTAATTTTCTGGGGTGCCTGGGTGGCTCAGTAAGTTAAAATTCTGACTCTTGGTTTCAGCTCAGGTCATGATCTCAGGGTCATGGAGATCAGGCCCTACATGGGGCTCCATGCTCAGCAGGGAGTCTGTTTCTCCCCCTCTCCTTCTGCACCTCTCCCTGCTTGTGCTCTCTCTCTCAAATAAATAATAAGTAAATCTTTAAAGAATAAAAAATAAAAAGGTAACTTTCTAACTCTACTTCCTCTAATAGAAAAAGAAAAACACTGACATAATGAGAGAAACAAATCAGGAGTTTAAAATGTTTAATATGCACTTTTAAAAATACAGAGGGGAATGTTGGTAACATGTAGAAAGACTTACCCTTCTAAGTGAACACTGGATAAGATCTCCAAAATGGTACCCTTGTTACAGTATAACTGCATCCTGGATGAACCATAGATTTCAAAATATTGCTACACTAAATGAAAGCCAAAGACCCTCAAAGGCTGATGAAGAAAGAGAATAAAGTAAACAAAACATTTTGAGCCGAAAAGGGCAGTTATGATTCTTAAGCCATGACAATAAAACAAGATTCACCATGGAAATGAGAATATGTCTAACAGAGTTGGTCTGGAGACTCCAGGATAAACATAGGAATACTTCTGGCACACAGCAGAAGCAAATTTATAATTCTTAAAAAATTAAACCAATTAAATTGGTGACTACAAAGACCCTAGGATTGAATTTTAGGGAAAAAATGTACTTACATGAATATTATTAACTAGACATCAAAGCAAGCATTCATATGTCTGAAGAAAACAAATAATAAATGGATTTAAGTCAATGACAATTTCAGATATTTGAATAAGCATATATGTATGATAAAATATACATGAATAAATACAAAAATTTAAATTTAATGACATGAAAATTTGAAAGATAAAGAATAAAGAAATGTAAGGTAAGAAATACTGAACCAAGAAAAATACCTAACCTGTTCACATCAAAGAGAGCTCAAGGAAAATGGTAAGAGATAATTGCAATATAATAACTAAAAGTTCAAAACATTAAAATTCTAAATTTTAATGCATCTGAACTCATTAGTATTAGGGATCTATAACTTTCCCTTTTCAGGAATATACTAAAAATAATGACTGTGCCAGATTTCTTTGTAAACAAAAATGAGGATTGAGGTTATCTAAAGAGAGCACAGGAAGGGGACTCGGGGTGGCTTAGTTGGTTGAGCTTCCAACTCCTGGTTTCAGGTCAGGTCATGATCCCAGGGTCCTGAGACAAGCCCCATGTCACGCTCTGTGCTGACTGTGGAAGCTGCTTAAGATTCTCTCCTTCCCTCTCCCTCTGCAACCACCCCTGCTCACATGCTCTCTATCCCTCTCTCCCTCTCTTTTGCTCTCACTCTTAAATAAATAAATAATTCCTTAAAGATAAAAAGAGTATCGAAAAATTTATTTTTTTCCACTGATCTTTGTTATTCTTTATATTAATTCTTTATAGTTTATAAAGATTATATATGGAGATCTGTATGCATATATAAGTTTGCTTGTCCCAGAAATCAGAGTGTTACCTCAATTAAACACACACTATTCTGAGTGCCTGGATGCCTCAGTTGGGGTTAAGTGTCTGCCTTTGGCTCAGGTCATGATCCCTGAGTCCTGAAAGGCCAACATCAGGCTCCCTGCTCAGCGGGGAGTCTGCTTCTCCCTCTTTCTCTGCCCCTCCCCTACCTTCCCCACTTGTGCATGCTCTCTCAAAGACAAAAACATTATACTAGCAAATCTCATTAGCATTACAATGATGAAGATCGTTTTTCTATTTGAGACAACACCTTCATGGAATGTGACTTATATCCCAAGTGAATGAACAACACATTTCCTTGAAATTAACCTACTTTCCTGCCCCATGTCTTACAAAACAAATATGCAAAAATAACTACTTTTACAATAGCTTTGCTGCTGCCATTGTTCATAGGAAAGACAAAAATCACTTTTCCTTTTTTAAATCTTGTCACGCTTTTAGCATATTGACTGTTGTCACCATCAAGTATGAATTTACAGATGTGAAACTGTTTAGCTACTTTAAAACGTTTTCATTAGTTTTAAACACCTCAGGTTGTCTCCTCTGATATCCATAGTTAATAGGCACTTGAACATAATAGAAATGCTTTTTATTTTTAAAATGTATTATAATATTATTTACAGCATTTTTGGTAACAGATTAGCATTTCTTTTTTTTAAGATTTTATTCATTTATTCATGAGAGACACAGAGAGAGAGAGAGAGAGAGAGGCAGAGATGCAGGCAGAGAGAGAAGCAGGCAGGGAGAGAAGCAGGCTCCATGCAGGGAGCCCAACATGGGACTTGATCCCGGGACTCCAGGATCACAACCTGAGCAGAAGGCAGACACCAAACCACTGAGCCACCCAGGGATCCCCCAGATTAGCATTTCTAAAATGGTGGGAAGTAATGAAGTTTCACAATCAAGTAATCCATCCACTAAACCTCTAGGCAGATATTAATATCCATCATGTGATTTTTAGAATGATGCACGTTTTTTTAATCATGAAAGAACATGGACTAGAATCTTGAAGGGAGATATATATGACAAGAATGTTGAATTTTTCCTACTTTAAAATGTAGTCATTTTATACATATATCTATTTAGATAGATTTTTGGGGGGAGGGTCAAGCTCCTTATTGCAAGCTGAGGATTTTAATAGTATCATTGTCTTGCAACGGATCTTTGTTGCCAAGGTCATTGATATCTAAGAAGAAGAGTTGACAAATAGATACTAGTTGGAAAATACCATTTGGAATAACACACTTATTTTTAGTTAACATGGAGATTTACCAATATTTAAAATTTAATGCAAATCTTAAAAGTAAAGGAAAAATGTATACAATTATCTTAACTTTCTGAGCAAATGATTTTTAAGTATCTTAGAAAAATCCCTAATTCTTTATATCTCCGAAAGTTTATGCATATATTTTCTTTCAGTTTTCCAACTATCAGAAAATTTATAATTCTACATAGATTGAAAAAATAAATTTTATTGAACTTATTTTATTAAAATTGATGCACATATCAATAGTCAAGTGAGCTGAGATTTAAATTATCTGTTCTCAAATAAAGTTATGAATTAAACCACTTCTACTTCATACCCTTGATTCTTCATGTGAAAATGAGCATGCAGAATAAAATGGTTTGTACTATCCTTAGAAACTAAAGCTAATTGAATTCATGTGAATGTTAGTATGTAGAAAACTGACTGGTGGACTGTTGTAGGGTTAGCAGGGACTTGAAATTAACAAGTGAAATGTGTCATTTTGATGGCCCTTTTCACAGCAGCCTTTACCTCTTTGTTCCTCAGACTGTAAATAAGTGGGTTTAACATGGGAATCACTAGTGTATAGAACACAGACACCACCTTCTCCTGCTCCACAGAATACTGGGAACTTGGCTGGATGTAGCTAAAGCTTAAAGTACTATAGAATATGGTCACAGCAGTCAGGTGGGAGGCACAGGTGGAGAAGGCTTTCTGTCTGCCTGCTGCTGAGCGGATCCTCAGAATAGCAACAGTAATAAACAGGTAGGAAATGATCACAATCAAGAAGGTGGCCATGGCAATGACTCCAGAGAAAGTTAAGAGCAACAATTCATTCATGGTAGTATCAGAGCATGACAGTTTTAACAGTGGGGGAACATCACAAAAGAAGTGGCTGACAACATTGGACCCACAGAAGGACAATCTGCCTAAACTTACTGTGTGTGTCAATGAGTTAATCAGTCCACCTATGAATGACCCAATGACCAACCCTACACATGTTCTCTTAGACATGGCTACATTGTAAAGCAAAGGGTTGACAATGGCCACATAACGGTCATATGCCATCACTGACAACAAGAAGCCTTCTGTGGTGATAAACACCCCAAAAAACAAATGTTGCACAATGCAGGCAGAGAATGAGATGGTTTCCTTCACAACCAAGAAGCTGATCAGCATTTTCGGTGCAATAACAGATGAATAGCAGGCATCCACAAATGAAAGGCAGCTGAGGAAAAAGTACATGGGTGTGTGGAGCTTGGGAGTTATTTGGATTATGAAGATCATACCCAGATTCCCCAGCAAGGTAATGGCATAAATCACCAAGAACAACACAAAAAGTATAATTTTCAGGTCAGGGTGGTCTGTCAGTCCCAAAAGAATAAATTCAGTAACAGCTGTGAAATTCTCTTTGGCCATTTGGTAATTCCTTGTCTTGAAATCTGAGATGGAAAAATAAGGAGATTAGAAGGGACAGGACAATCTGGTATTTATTAAAGACAAATACAAACATGTATAGAGTTGTGTCATTGAATAAATCATTATTTTGCTGAACCTAAGTCACCTCATTTATTTATTTATTTTTAAATATTTTATTTATTTGAGAGAGAGTGAGCATGAGCAGGGGCAAGGGTCAGAGGGAAAGGGACAAGCAGACTTCCCGCTAAGCAGGGAGCCTGATGTGGGGTTCTATCCCAGAACCCAGATATCATGACCTGAGCCCAAGGCAGATGCTTAACCAACTGAGCCACCCATGCACCTCAAAGTCTCCTCATTTATAATAGTAGAAGCTTGATTAGATTCTTGACTTTATTTCAGGGCTACATATGATTCTATCCCACAAGGAAATATGTGAAAAAGCACCGATGCTCTCAAAAGTTTCAGTTGTCTTCATCATACCTCTATAGGAAGTTGATACCAGCATGAGGAACGATAATGCCAAGTGAAAGGAATTTGCAAAGTTCAATTTAAGCTCTGTTTTCAATTCTTCATTTTTAGATATAAAAGGAGTAAATTACAAGAAGTTCTAAAATCAGTTGTCCTGTTAACTATTTAGTTAACCCACACCAGCACTATGATATAACCAGAGAACTGGCAAAGATTATAAGGCAGGGGTTTACCTTCAAGATGATGCCATGCTCTTGACCTTCAAGATGATGCTCTTAAATTGCATCTCTGGATCTCCTAAATGGGATCTCTGGTCTATTCTGATGCCTCTTGATGAGCAGCACGGAACACCCTTAGTGGAATCATCTTCTCTGAGATCCAGAGCACTGAAAACTGCATCTTGCCTAAATAGAACAGTTAGAAGATTTCATAAGTTCTCTGAGGCCCAAATGAATAAATTATGTTATTTCTGTTATTAACTTGTCATTATACAAATGCTTACCTACAGATAATGTGTGTAATATTCAATTACTTAATTACTTGGTATATACATGTATATATAAATATATGTCTAATTTTATATAAGTTCTCATACACAATATATAGAGAAAGGATAAAATGTAAAATGTTTGTAGCCATGATCATCTATCACTCTCTGGAGCACTTTTTTCATTTCCTCTATATAATGATAAATGTATATGAACATTATGGTTTTCTAAATCCAATTTCCATTAGTTTGGTTATATATACATTTTATTCAGCTTGTATTGTGCTTCTGTAAGAATTAATATATCTGTAATAGAATAGAACTCTCTCCCATATTCTACATTTAATCGTTAAGAGTGTGGGATGCCTGGTTGGCTCAGCGTTGAGTGTTTGCCTTCAGTCCAGGACGTGATCCTGGTCCTGGGATCCAGTCCCACATCAGGCTCCTTGTGAGGAGCCTGCTTCTCTCTCAGCCTGTGTCTTTGCCTCTCTCTCTGTGTCTCACAAATAAATAAATAAAATCTTAAAAAAAAAAAAGACTTAAGAGTGTATTTTTAGAAGTAAAATAATAAAATTTGGCTTATCTATATTCTATTGACTTATTTTAATTAATATATTTTAGGTAGTACAAAAGAGAAGTGGTTAACATTAACCCAATGATTTAAATATGTTGCTATCACATACTGACTTACTGACTTGGGCAAACTCATTTATCTTCTTTCAGACTGTATACAATTACACCTATATCACATGATTACTGAAAAAAATAAGAGATATTACATGCAAAATGCTAAATATTTTAGGCGTATAAGTACTCAAATTATAGATAAGATAGTAAGATATAATAGAAAGATAGATGATAGAGATAGATGAATGGATAGGTAATAGGTGATAGATAAGTAAGTAGATAAGAAATATATTGATAGGCAATCGCTATGTGAGATTTTTTAAAGGAAGATGTGGATGAATATAAATCATGAAAAAAGTACTCTAGTCAATCAATTTACCTTTCCCCAATTTTAAATCTCTTGTTTATTTTATTTAAAATGGTATTTAAATGTAAATGCAATTGAATGGTTTAACTTTTCCTTTGATAAATTACCCCATAAATTTTCATGATTTCTCATATGCTAATTAGAAACTACCAAAACACTTACCAAATACATGCAAATAATGTTAACCCCAGACTTTTCAAAACTGAATATAACATTTGTCCATCATATTCTGAACTATCTTATGCAGTAGCTATTCATGTGACTATTTGTATAGAAACTGAAATTGAACAAAATTTCAATTCTGTAATCTATTCCCCATTCAAATGCTCAATATCTATATGTGACTAGTAATCATTATCCTGGACAGAACAAATTATAGAAATGTCCATCACTGCAGAAAGTTGTATTGGTTAGAGTTCTCATGTAACTATCTGACTCATCTTTTCAGAACACCAGTTGAAAAACATTTCCTCAAGGAAGGATTATGTATTGTACACAGGTTTTGTTGTAAACATAGAAATGGCATTTCCAAATGGAATTTAGAAATTCAATTATATCATGTTTTCAGGGATGCCATCCTCTGCAAAATTTAAGGTGATATTAAAGTAGAATGGGATGATAGGATGTGCAGTTAGATGAAATGAACTCTAACATTTTTAACACTCATATGATTCTATTAGATTTAAGACAAATTTTCTGACTAATCAGCTCAATATGAGGAAATTTAAATAAAAAAGAAAAAAATTACAAAATAAATTCAACTTACCAAAAAAATATTTTAAACCTTTAGCTTTAAAATTTCATTCCCTTTCCCTGGCTTTCCACTCTTTCTTTAGTCAAAAACAAATTAAGTTAATGATTATATGATATACAGAGCTATTACATTAATAGTATGTATCTGAAGATAACCCCAAGTAAAGTAATTGAAATCAAATCTTATCTATTAATGAACAACAAACAGAATAACAAACTAATAAATAGTTTTAACATATTTCATTCTTTTCCTCTAAGAGGACAACTTTGGATACAGGTGTGAATATATGTATATATACACTTTACATGGGCCTCTAAGGAGCTCTAGTATTGCTTTCACATTATAGCACAACTGATGAAACCTTAGGAAACACGGTTTCTCAAGGGACTTTACATTTTCCCATGATTCATATATCTCCCTAACGTGCATAATTAACTAAAATGTTATAAAGAACTTAAGGAAATATCAAACAAAAGATGGGGAGATTTTTGAAAATCAGTAAAATATAATAGGAACAATAATGAATATAAACTGTTCAATAGAAAAGTGAATTAACTAAATGATAAATAGATGTTTCTAGACTTGTTACAAACTTTATAAATACAAACTGTATTTAAGATGAGGCAACTGACAAATGTTACTACTTTAAAAGCAACACATACACACACTAAACAAACAAATTCTGATGGTGATAGAACACCTATCTCTATTTTCAGTTTAACATGCAGAATGGGTTGGGAAAAATCTTGCTAGAAATCCAGTTTAGAGTTAGTGCTTGTGATGTAGGGAGGATGTTGGTGATCAGAGCCAACAGTTAAGAAATAATTCTTAAGATGTTTTTGGTGCAAAGAGATGGTTTTATTAAAACAGGACCCTTGGACAGGAAGAGCTGTACTGAGATCATGAGGAGTGGCTGATTATATTTTCTAGTTGGGATGGGGTTAAGGACAGGTGTTTTGGAAACAATGTTTTCAGGACCTTGAGAGGGCTAGCTGTTGTTAGGAAAAGATCATTTATTACCGGTTAGTAAAAACTCAGTCCTGAGACTTTTCAGAGGTAGATCAGTTGGTTATATCCTTAGAAGATCATTGCTAACATATATCTTGGGGGAGTAGAGATAAAGGAAGTTTCCAGAGAAATCTTTTTATGTTAAAGTAGACTTATGGGATCATGGGGCATTGGGATAATAAACTAAGACTACCTTTTGCCCTTAGCAAAGTATTAACATCAAGGCAGCTGAGCTCCCAGAGGAAGGTTACTCTATTTGTTTCAAGAGTTTGTCAATGAACTATAGGTAGTAAGGAAATTTTGTTTCTTTTGCCTTTGCTTCCCACATCACTTACACTCATCAAACTAATATTTACTGTTGGATGATATATTCTAGGCATTACATTACACAGTAGAAATAAGGGGTTATAAAAAATAATGGAATACTAATTTTTAGAAAGTTTGGAGAATAAATACCATCCCAAAGACACTTGCATCAGAATATATAGAAATCTGGAAAATCTGGGAAAAAAAGTGGATAATGATCATGGAGGATAATGAGAAGGATGTTAAAAATCAGATTGATAAGGGATAATTGCTAGCATGTGTTTCCTGAGGGCTGTTGTCAATCTGTGTAACTGGAATCTTGGATTTTAATAACTCTGCTCCTGAAAACAACTGGCAAATAGGACAACACATGTGTAACAAATGTTTTCAGATATTTGACGAATGGCAGTTCAGGACTATGATCTGAGACAGAAAGGGCAAGTTTACTAATTTCTGACATGGGGCAGTGATTGGGGCACATGGACATTAGTCAAGTTGAAGTGAAAGCACAAAATCAGATCAGGAAGGGCTGAGGTGCCCAGAATGTGCAAGCTGAGTACTGAGGCTCAGTACTGAGTGCGAAGACCTAGGAAAAGTGATTAAGATGTTAGCATGGAATTTGAGACTTTGAATGACTCTAAAGTATACATATTAAGGTGAGACCCCATAAGCCCAGATCAGGAGCAACTACCAGGGATCTGTATGATGAAAACTAGTGATTCACCCAGGGTGGGATACATTCAAATTCTGTCAAGCCTTTTGAGGAAGCTGAATATCTCAGGCTTCCAGTGGAGACAGCAAAAGAGAGAACTTGCCCCAGAGGAAAGGATTCCCTATACTTCTAACAGAGCTCAATATTAAGTCTCAAAACGATTAAGTAGATTTGCAAGTAAATAAAAGTAAATAAACTCCCAGCCAAAATAAAACAACACTGTTTAAAGAAAGATTTAAAAATTTCCCACTCAACTGTAGAATGTTTGTTG